ATAATTTTCTAATGTTTAGTACAGATAAAAAACTATTTGGTAATATTCTAATGAATATCAAAGATGGAAAAAATGTTCAATCAAGATAATTGAATGTTTCATTCATTGATTCATGTTTTTGTGTATTTCTTTCTTTCATTGCACAATCCACTTTATTACATTTGTCATTATTATTATTATTTTTYGGGGTGTTCCAGGGGTGTTCCGGGTATTCCTTGTTTTACAGACACCCGAGACCAAGGAGGCATGGAAGATAACTGTAACATGTCTTCAAACACACCTCTCTGGAGCTTCAACTTTTTGAGACAAAAAACATCCTCAATAGATGTGCACTATTTCAAATATATATACTAAATAAAAAAAACCTTGATCAAACATATTTAGACATAYAACTTATTTACCTCATGAACTTCCAGAATGAAATGTTTCTTTTTAAACGTCAYCTTTGATATTTTTGGCCTTTGGTGAATAAAAAGCAATTATTAATAGAAGGCAAGGATGACATTTCCACAAGGTCAAAAATAAGCCAATTTTAAATGCAATGTGAAACACAATTTAATTGRTTTTATTTTAGGCCTACAAAACGATATATAAACCAACAAAAACAAACATTGGATCTATTGCAAAACATGCAATTCCAACAATTTCAAATAATAGGACAAGAAAAATGACCCAAAATATACCAAGACCCAAATAATACTGTTTGACAAGTTTTGACAAGTTTTCTTTTACACAAGCACAGCACTTTGAGATTTTTCTATTGCGAGACGTTTAGCTCCAGAACTAAACTTCTGGCAATCGCCAACAAATGTCGGAACAACTGTAATTTCAATTAAGAGAAATTGAATAAAGACTGAAATAAGGAACTTGTCAAATTGAAAAGTGGGTACTGGGAATAAGGTGATCTACCAGAGTAGTGGAAGTGAAATTTTCTAATCCTCCCTATGTCAGATGGGCAAAATATCATGTCCCCCTACCCTTCCCCTTCAACCATTATCACAACAATTTATAATTGCCCCCAAGCAGCCAGTGAATGATGGCGCAGGGCCTACAATAATTGGCCAATTGTTTCTTCATTTTGAAGGGATAAGGATTAGGATATTTGACAGACCGTTTATAATAATAACTAGACGCATAGCTGCGTGAACTCAGGGCTCTTGCGTTGATTAAAATCTAGTACTGTAGTCAATCCGCACATTCAACAAAGTTTGTTCACTTTCGTAGTTTCTTTGGCCACTCAGGATAGCATCCTTTGGTTGTTGACTACTAAGCGGCATCAATCTTGGCATTGCGGGTTCAATTCTCAGCTCGGAGTCGATCGATAGACAGTAAGATAATATTGAAGTTTAATGCCCTTTCGAAAAACGCTGGACATTTTTTATTTTTTAGTGTGACGTATACCGTGAATAGTGTTTTGGATTTAAGTGGATTTGAAGTTTCATCTCGCTTTACTAGTATCGTGCTACTCGGCACCATACACGACTTTCACAATGGCCGACACAAATTAGCATATTATTGTTGAATTCATAATTTTGACAAAAGAAAACACTCAGATGATAGATATCAAAGCTAAAGATAAGCTCTGAAAGTTTCAAAAATTATATATTNGAACTTGTCAAATTGAAAAGTGGGTACTGGGAATAAGGTGATCTACCAGAGTAGTGGAAGTGAAATTTTCTAATCCTCCCTATGTCAGATGGGCAAAATATCATGTCCCCCTACCCTTCCCCTTCAACCATTATCACAACAATTTATAATTGCCCCCAAGCAGCCAGTGAATGATGGCGCAGGGCCTATAATAATTGGCCAATTGTTTCTTCATTTTGAAGGGATGAGGATTAGGATTTTGACAGACAGTTTATAATAATAACTAGACGCATAGCTGCGTGAACTCAGGGCTCTTGCGTTGATTAAAATCTAGTACTGTAGTCAATCCGCACATTCAACAAAGTTTGTTCACTTTCGTAGTTTCTTTGGCCACTCAGGATAGCATCCTTTGGTTGTTGACTACTAAGCGGCATCAATCTTGGCATTGCGGGTTCAATTCTCAGCTCGGAGTCGATCGATAGACAGTAAGATAATATTGAAGTTTAATGCCCTTTCGAAAAACGCTGGACATTTTTTATTTTTTAGTGTGACGTATACCGTGAATAGTGTTTTGGATTTAAGTGGATTTGAAGTTTCATCTCGCTTTACTAGTATCGTGCTACTCGGCACCATACACGACTTTCACAATGGCCGACACAAATTAGCATATTATTGTTGAATTCATAATTTTGACAAAAGAAAACACTCAGATGATAGATATCAAAGCTAAAGATAAGCTCTGAAAGTTTCAAAAAWTATATATTAAATCCTCTGGAAGTGTTAAGGTTTGGAAGCACAAAAACACCAAAACGAGRCCACCAAGGCCTCAGTAAAGAAATTTTCGTTCCTCCATAACTTCATTTGTATTTAGTCTATATCTTCAAAATTTTGCACAATTACTTATATCTGATAGTTCTTCATTGTGACAGTGCTGAATGTTTCCTTGATATTGCCAATCATATAAAATCGATAGTGTAGGCAATTGTGAAAGTGGTCTATAAAGATAGCACATGTTGTGAAATGTCATGTGATAACATTCGTACCYAGTGCATTTGTCCGAGGAAATTWTGCGAACCAAGTACGACGAAGACACCCGAAATTTAAACTTGTGGTTCCTTTGGAATCCCGAGTAATAATTGGAAGAGATTGGCAATGCTGTAGGTCACAAAATTTTGAAGATTTGCAGAGACTTATAATGATAAAATTATTTGGATAAACTCAAGCAAACACACAAGTCTTTCATCTCCATGGGGTCCATTTCCCAGGATACACAACAGCATGTTCACCCCATTCATTGCTCTTAGATAATGCCACAACAATGTCTATCAGCAGGGTCTCTTTATTAGAAACTTACCAAAAGTAAAAAGCAACTTGCTCATTTTCTCTTATGACAGCTATTCCTCTGGGACTAAGACCTAATTGAAATTCCATCTTTTTGATATCCTGTTAAATTGGGTAAATTGATTAAAACAAACAAATCAAGAAGTGTACAGCATACATTTGTACATAATTATTCAATATCATGATAACATAAGAGGAAACACTCTATCCATAAAAACTAGTAGTTTATTGTACAACGTGAGAACTACAAGTAAGGAAAAGAGAAGGAGAATTGAGAAGGAATTATATTGTGTGTTTAGTCTCGATGCCTGGGTATTTAACTTATTTGCAGCCGATGAGCATGTTAATTATATTTGTGGGTATCTTTAATTTACAGGAGGTCACTGGGACAGTTCCCATCAACAGCGTCATGTACAAGATAAGCAACAGATTTGAAATATACAATATTTATTTATACAGCAATATGCAGAAATTCTGACCACTTTGACTCATATTCCAACTATATATAAAATATATCAGAAATTATGGGATATCATCGCTGATATTTTTTTCAGATACTACTGATCCTAGGCAACTTCAAAAAAATATCAGTGMCCATATCCCATAATTTCTGATATATTTTATATATAGTTGAAATATGAGTCAGAGTGGTCAGAATTTCTGCATATTGCTGTAATTACAATATCATAATTTATTTATAATACAATTTATAAAGATTGATTTTTAAAGCCATTTTTATATTTTTTCCCCCCTTGTAAATCTTGTCTATTTTTATTTACGAGGGGGGAAAAAATATAAAAATGGCTTTAAAAATCAATCTTTATTCATAAAACTGTTTATACCTATTAAAGAAAAACGAAAAGAAAGAGAAAGTCTTGAAAAGTCTCAAGAAATGAAGTAGAAAAAATTTACGGCTTCATATGAGGGCTCGAACCGCGAACCCCGCAATTACAGTAATACTTTGACACCGCCGTGAAAGCAACACAACCATTGAGCCTGGGCCCCCTGTGAAGTAACTAGACTATTTTGGGGACTAAAATGTATTTTTTAGATAGAATAATTATAATAATGTCATTGACTTCAATGATATACATAATATACATCTTAATTACCTGCACTTTATGTAGATTAATTCCATAGAAGTCAAGTTTTTTTATTAGTCGTAAAAAGTTGACCTCACATTCTGCAGGACTGAGACCTCTACAGAATACATATTATTTATTATTATAATCATAATTATATATTCTTTAAAACACATCATTTTAAAACAGTAATAGGGGTGGATCCAGGATATTGTTAGGGGATGTTCCACCCAAACAGGCTTCCCAACCCTCCACCACAGGATTGGATACCCTTTAAATATTATAAAATATAACAATTTGGCTAGACCATATTTCTAAAACAATGGCATTTTGGAGACGTGATATAGGTATGTCAAACAAYAAATTAAACAAATTGGACAAATAAGTTAAACAAACTCTAAAAGCTGTGAATGCTTAATTCTATATAAATGTACTGATAACCCTTTTGACTTTTACAAAGTAAGTGTCTATATTTGTTTACAAAATAAATGTAAAAGTTAGAGACTTACATTAAAGATTTGTGCTTTTTAAGAATTTCTTTTTCTAATTCTTTATTCTGGAAGAAAACAAACATCRAAGATTAATTTATCTTCTATACCCTAATCTAAATACATTTGCAAACATAAGGAAAGCAGTCAGCAAGGCTATAAATCTAATATTTTGCAACTGCCAAAAAAAACACCAAGAGGGCAATACATACTTGACACACTTGACATATCTCATATCATACTATTCTTGGGTTGCATTTATGTCATCACAATTTTTACTAAATACTCATATTAAAAGATGACATTCATGTCCTTTAGAGCATAAAAAAACTATATAGTCTGACAAAAATTTAGGATTGTAGAGCATTTGGTTGTGGAATTATTAGTAATTGGCGATACGCAAAATTTGGTAAAAACGTATGGCAGAAATCCAGATGGCGGTCACATCTGACCATCGTCTGGATTCAAAGGTTTACAAAACAACAGAATTTTTTTTTGACAAATTTCATTATAAATTTTTGCACTCATTAACCTGTGCGAGGCGGGTTATATAGGCTACACGTGCCGTCACCTCTTCCAACGCATCGACGAACACACCCCGGGGGGGGACTCCCTAATATCAAAGGGCGGGGGTCCTCGGCGTCCCTTTTAGGGTTTGAAATCAGTATTTTGGTCCCGCTTAGGGTGATCATGAGTCCCGCTTAGGGTGATCATGACAAGAATTCACACCAACTGAGTTTTGTGGTCCCTTTTAGGGTATACGGCGACCCTAAGCAGTCATAAAATGGCAACGTCGTCATAAACTCAATATGAGCCGACGGTGTTCGATGATTGTGTAAAAACACAAATAAAATCGGTAAACCAAAACAAAATGACCTGTATTGATTGGTCCCTTTTAGGGTTGAAATTTCAGCACTGCCACGCCCATCATCTCACAATAGAGGTCCCTTTTAGGGGTCATTTTCACAATCTCCGCCGAGGACCCCCGCCCTTTGATATTAGGGAGTCCCCCCCCYKGGGAACACGCATCAACCAAAGTTGGAAATCATCACAAATAAAGATTGCCATGAAAGCCTACAAGGTTTCAAAKAGAGTTTTAAAGTACTCAGAAGATGCAAGAACRAATCCGAATGCTTAATCTATGAAATGCTATACATCAAGAACAAAGAACCACTGCTAAATGCACAATCTGACTCAATTAAGTCAAAAGTGTTCTAAAATAAGATTATCCCAAGAGACATGTTATTATATTCAATAACATATAAAAACTGTAGTGATCGATCTAATAAATTATTCTTGAAAATGACRCGCRATGGTGTCGAAACATCAAAATCTCTTGTTGTCCTAACTTGTTTAACAAAACTTATTAAGCACAAACAACTAATTATCATACCTGATTAGGATAAAATTTGAGCTCCTCCATGTAATCTTCCCCATGCAGATCTGATTCATAATCGCCTAGTTGAGCTAAAAAAACAGGGTATCAAAATGAAAATCACAAAATATATGCAGATTCTTATATYTAACTTGTAGTACAAACAAAAATACCACCAGTTCATAGTAGCCATTACTGTTTTTATCTCTCTTTTTCTCTGTAATCTTATGAACTATTTCTTGTACTATAACTTGTAACTATATGTTTAATCATTATCCTAATATAGCATGTACGTCAAAATAATAACAATCTTACATTGTAAACTGTAAGCAACTAGTTCAATTGCCATCTTTTGTGGAACTTGAAGCCTGAAGATAAATGTCAATTGTCAAACAATATTCAAAGTCAAAAACTTTGTTTCCCAAGACAAAAACTAAAACGAATTAARAATATTTCGAAATTATTGCACAAATTTGCCATAAATCTGTCACTGAAGTGGAAAATCCCTAAATTTGAATGAATGCTTGTGGCAAAAGTCAAGACCTATGACCCACAAAAACCTAAGACCCAAATATTTTAGTGCATTATACGCTGATTGCAAGAATAGGTGATGCAAATAGGTGTTTAATTGTTTAAGATAGCTTTTAATCAATAATATTAGGGGACTTAATTAGTTAGGAAAAATGAAAACTAAGACCCTGCTTCAAATTGAATCAAAATAAAAGCCATGTAGCAGCAAGTTTATTGAGTTTAGCTGGTAACAGGACGAATAATTATAGTGAAACATAAAAACAATAATGAGGTCTTAGATTTTTGTGAGTCTTGGGTCCTAGATTTCAATACAACCTTGAATCRTTGTTGGTCTTTGTGAACACCACCTACTAAATTGCACAAAATATTTCAAAGCTACAGCTGTGTAGTACAATTTCACAGATTCAATGTCTTCGGGTTTTTGGCATGGAAATAATGGYATGAAAATACTTTTTTGCAAGTGGGTGCAAAGGGTTAAAGGAAAATACACCTATTTCAAAAAATGTTGTCGTCGCCAGGACACAGTCCACGTTCTTGAGCCTGCAAAGAATCTCGGGATTGCCATATAAAATTATATATTCAATTTTAGTTATTTAAAATACTCCGGTTACGAGTTCTGGTTGGTCTGTGTTAGCCTCAAAACCAAGCAATTTATTCTTTTGTTTCATTGACAGCCTGAGAATACGCATGGAATTTGAAAAGAGAGACAATAGAATTGATTTGAAATCTCACACTTTTATTCAGCACAATTAGGAATATTTTGCGCATAAATGAGGCTAACACAGRGCATTRGAGAATTYRAAWCTSGATTATTCTCGGTCTCGTAGCGAATAAAGATTTGAAACTCATTGATGGTTTGAAAGCATGGAATATTTTTCAAGGAAGATGTCTCGTGGCGAGACATGCCCGCAATAGTATATTTAGTAGTGCTTGCTGGCATTGAATTCAAACCACGATTTATTTTGAATATATTAATTACGCATGGAAACCCAGAGATTCTTTGCAGGCTCAAGACTGTGGACTGTGCCGTGATGACGACAACGTTTTTTGAAATAGGTGTATATCAGTTTAGTTMATGGCTGGTYTTTGACATCAGATGGCAAACAAACATGGCATGGGTGAGGTCAGTTGACCTTCTACGATAGACACATGTACACAATTGAATAGTGTCTAATTCAACTTGATCAAACTTACTTATTTTTTGCAATATCCTGCTTTAGTTGCAAAAAGAAATGATATCTGTTGACAAGGTATAACAATAATTTATCAAAATAACAGGATCAACATTAAGGTGCATTTTGTACCTCGATCAGTCTGCTGCAATTAATAGGAAAATGACTTAAAAATATCCAAAACATAAAAAAACATATGCAAGCATACTCAATTGAGTTTTCATTCAGAGGGGTTTTCAGACTTATTCAGGAAATAAAAACGTGCATCTTAGAAGCATGATTTTCTGCCATAGGAAAMAATTGCAACTTAGATTTTGAATCAATCAGAAAGCAAATTTCAACAAGAGATCATTTTGTAAAACAAAAGAAACGACTGCAAAGGTTGTACAGTTTGCAAAGACRTAAATATAACTTACAACAACATCTCATTTGCATGTACCACATTCATGGGATTGACTTCCCATATTTCCCCCCTCCTCCCCTGACCTCCACTTGCTTATGTTCCAGAAGTTTGGTTTTGAGACCTTACTGTACACCCTCATGTAGGGATGTGATATATTAGTTTGTACTGATATGAAATTTTATTAAGTAATATGGTTTTTGTGATAATTAAAGAGTGGCTATGTCAACGATACAGCCATCATTTATCCAACTGGTGTTATGTCTTACCTGCACGAACAAGCTCAGCACATATTGCTTAATCTGAACTTATATTCAGTTCTCTTAGGAGCTTTTTGATAGGGTCTCTCAGTCTAAAATAAATTACCTTGTTAGTTCTTCACCAAGATCTTGAGGATCTGCAGCATAGAACTTGACTCTAAAGTGCAGAGTGAATGGTGGTCCAACTAATATGTAGATACAAAAGACATCTTGTTTAATATTTCAGATGCARTTCTTGATAAAAATATAAAAATATAATAAATATTATTAATTATAATTGTTATAAAAAAATGAAGTGCGACATTTGAGCATGCGTGACTTGTCAAAGTCAGAAAAATTATATATTTAGTGAAGACCAGCATTCGATGTATACCAGAAATAAATATTTTCTACCAACAAAGATTGGAATGCAAAACCTATAAAAATTAGCAGAAGGAGAATAACAGAAATCTCTGGAGCCTTTTTAAAGAAAATCGACTTTTTGTGATTTTTTAACATGCCATACAATTTTAGCAACCTATTCATCCGCCAGTAAAATACCATAATTCTTTTAATTTGAAAGTTATAGATTGAACTAAAATTTACACACACTGATGTTGGCAAATGGATGTACAACATATTGCAAGATCATGGCAACCGGTTGTATATTTATTTATATACGACTGTTTATTTTGTGCAGTTCAAATTTTGGGCTCATTTTTGAGCCGCGTTCATATCTTAATTTCTGCCCAAGCTTTYCCAATTTTAAAAATTCATAGCCTTTATACAGTTTGATGAGATATAAAAATTCTGAAAATTTCAAGATCTGACTGTTAGTTTTAGAGTTAATCGCCGAAAACTGAAATTCTGTTTGAAAATGTGCTGTATCTTTAAAACCAGCCAATRAATTATATATACTGTCTGACAACTTACAAAAAACTACTAATTATTGCATTTTATATTTAAATTTTAGCACGTTTAACTAAATACTTTTGCGAAGCGAGCAACTTAAAAAGTACAAAATTCGTGTTTCATTAGTTGTGATCCACCTCAAGATATTCCCTAAGGACATTCATTGTGAAAAAAGGATTATGTGTTAATGGCAGAATGCCACAAGTTTTTTTTAATATACATCATGGAGAGGAAAAAAATCCCTCGCAGTTACAAAGGAATTACGAATAAAAACACCAACTTACAGTTGCAAAAAATGTGGTCTATAGCAGGAAGAAAAATGCCTTAAGGCAAAACATCATGCATTTTACATGGTACTGATTTTAACTTACTTTTGACTTGCTTCTTGATCTTCTTAGTTGGATCAAGCCAGTGCTATTTCCAAAAAACACATCACAATACAACTGTACCAGTATTATTAGTTATTACAAGAAAAAACTTCAAAAAAATAAATCAATGAATGTAGATGTTACAGTATTATAATGTAATTCTGGAGAGATTATAGATGGAAGTTGTTAAAACTGATTGGTTATATAGAGACTGGAAATGGAGGCCATACCCCAAATATGTTTCTTCTTGAAAAAATATTTTCATTGGAAACATATACTTTAATAATTTAAGAGTTCATATTCCTCCAGCTAAACAATAATATTAAAAGAGAAATAAAAAACAAAACAAAACATTAAAAAACACACACACGTGTCAGATYTGGAACCTGAAAAGATCTGGAATCACTGAAAATTACTGGGTAAGGAAATGCAACCTACCCATTCTTTGTTGAAGAGAGAATTTCAATTTACAATTAAATAGCATGATTCTTATAACTAGACTAATTACTCCATAATTCTCTCCCAGACATTCGTTTTCTGATTGAATTTGTTACTGTTCATTGAAGTCACAAATCATATAGTTTCCTGACAAAACTGAGGAGAAAAACTTTGACTTATGGAATCAGTCTAGTTTCTTAACATTTGAAGTTTCTGTTTTAGTATACTTACTGACACTTGATGGGTATCCATAAATTGTAGTCCAAAATAGTCCTTCTCAACTAAATCTAAATTCTTGAATATAAGATCTAATAAAACTTGTCCTTTACTCTTTTTCTGAAAAACAATTTCATCTGGAATTAATGTCTGGAAAGGAATAATACACCCTACAATTGCAGAGTGTTTAACTGAAAATAATTACTCTTGCCCTGGCTGTAGGCCAGCRTCACAACAACATATAAATTGTTTTTATTTAGTCAGAAGTTGGTCTTCAGGTTAACTGACTGCTTCTCGATATCTGCCCAAAGGGACATCATCACCGTATCTTCTAACAGTAAATAGTCTTCATTTAATCTACTGCTGGGATATCAACCCCCATGGCGTCACTCATGCCGTCACAAATGACGTCATATTCTGTTTCAACCAATGGGATTAGACATTGCACAATCAGTTATGTATTTTTCATGCGCCTGTTTTGTTCCCCTGTAGTCATTTTGTTCCGTATCGAAAGATCAAGAAACGCGATGGACATATTAATTCATTGAAGGTTTTCTTTGAAAATAAAAATCTACAACAATGGTTAGTAATTAATATCATTCTATGAAAATATAATGCTATGTGGGAGATTAAGAGCTAAAATCTTGAGACCGGGAGATTCGATCTGAAATCGAGAGTCTCGCGGCAAACCCGGGAGAGTTGGCATCCCTGCTACTGTATATGTAACCTAGTCCAGAACTGGACCCTCTTTTCTGAATTACTATGYTATTGTACGTAAAAGTAAAAWACATACGCGTTCGCGCAAAAAATTGGCTTTTATCCATAAATCGTTTTACTCAAATTCTATTTGTTAAGTAATTATAATTCGATTAATTGTATAGGTTCCATATTTGTCTACACAATCAATCTTCGAGTTGCTTTGCCATTGACGGCTTGATATTATTCTTAATTGTTTTAGTTGGAATAATGGAGTTGATGACAACTCACATCAAAACAATGAAATTGAAGATGAAGTCTACAATACTGAGAGTGTAGAGTGAGTCAATTCAAGCATGCTGTTAAATACAAATACAATAAAATACTAGAACATGTCTTTGGATTTCTAATGTGAAGGACAAATAAGCAGTATATTTAAGAAATAATGCCCACATGGCAGTTTTCATACGGCTAAGTAAGTCCATCCTTGGATTAAGAGTTGTACCGCCACTATCATCCTCATGTTGACTCTCTTCTCCGAAATGTGCCGCAAAACTGTATTTATAGTATTCTACGCTTACGTCTTACGCAGGGCTCAAAATAACATCCGGTCAACARACCATGTCCGGCCAAAATTCAYACTTGTCCGGTCAAACTTCATTTTGGCCGGTCATCTTGATCGGTCAAGTCACACTCTATAACATGAAATAAAAAAACTATCAAGAAAATACTTAATACAGCGGATTCAGGTCGACTGTTAATATAACGAACAATTCTCAGGCGTCGATATTCTGCTACAAAGACTACAGTATCAGACAGATATAAGTGTTAATACATGATTGTGTTTAATGAATACAAAACACAATTCAGAGAGAAAGGAAATAAAGGAAATAGCATCTTAGACACGATTCTACTTGTTTATTGAACAATGATCATGTATCCCTACGAACCAGCTAGCCGTCAAACGTCCACGAAACGCCGCAGACGTAGAATAATATTCAGTATTTTCGATATGATGTTTCAAAGCTTTCCTTCTCATTTTTTGTGGAACAAATTTCACCAAGAAGAAAAAAACAATATCCGCTCAAAAATCAGAAAGGTTTTTGTTCTTTTTTGTCTTTTAATTTGATTTTAATGCCAATAAACTATGCTTTTTGTATAAATAATATATGTTTTAATTCAAGTTTTTATGCTTCATTTTTTCTTTTTTTGTCCGGTCAAAACTGGAACATGTCCGGTCAAAATTGTATTTGAACGGTCAATATGTCCGGTCACTGACCTTATGGTGCTTTGTATTATTTGATTATCAGTGATATCTAATAAGTATTTAATTAAAATTGACCTCTTAGGCCGAGAAAATGATACTTTGACAAAATAAAAGATGGCTATAAAATAACTAGATGCTCTTGGAGCATGAAGTCRGACTAGCTGCTTTTGAAACTAATTGAGAAAGATAGGATATTACATAAAAATATAAAAATTAGAATAAAATATATATATTTCTTAATTTTTTCCCAAAATAGCCGAACTCACGGTCTAAAGTCTAAATAAGAGCGTCTAGTTCAAAATATCCGAACTCTCTTGAGACTTTAAATAAACTTGACCTAAAAGATCATGTAATTGAATGTAATTAACACCAATACGTTTTAAAAGAGTTGCTTTTACTGATAAAATCAAACATAGACAAAATGTCGCTAAGAGATATCATGAAATCTAATACGTTGATCTCTCAGGCCAAGAAAATAAATACTTTACAAAGTAAATCATACCTATAAAATCATTAAAGTCACCTTTTTGTTATTGATAAACAAAGTGTCTTCTTGTTCTAATTTGAAATCTTTGCCCACACAAGACTCCCTAACGCTAGAAAGGTCATTGATTTAGCATACTACTCGAAGCACCATGCAATCTGCACATGCGCGTACTTATGATACCTAGACTGATGCATTTCGATGAGATCACATATACCACATTTGTAAATGAATAGTTTTTTCATCATATAAAAGCGCAAATAGAATATAACATTTACTAACGATATTCGTACATCTATACGATTGAGCTTGCAGTCATATAATAACACAGCCAACCCATTTATAGTTAATTATTAAATTCTTAACTTCCGGTGGTCCAGATGCGACATGACACATAGATAGATTGACTAAAAGGTAAAACTCAAGTCGACCTAGCCTTCAGCTAGTCCGACTAATTAAAGTCACATTAAAGACAGTGTCAAACAACATTGTCCTTCCAAAATCACTAGATGACTGGACAAATTTGATTTTGAAAGGACAAATTGACCAGCCACATTTTTAGACAAAAAAAAGTAATCAATTCCCAATTCGCTAAATAAATACATTGTACAAAGCTTATAAATTACTGCTTCCCGGTTCCAAAGCTCGAAWTCTTACTTCTGGTGGTCCAAACACGACATAATACATAGATAGACAGTTGGATTGATTGATAGATAGATTGACAATAAGGTTAAACTGAAGTTGGGTTGCCTACTGTTTAGCCTGACTAATTATTTTGAACTTTGATACCAATTACGTCATCGTCTACCCATGTATGAGT